GTCTTGAAGGCATTCCTGCTGGGGGTCGCAGATGGACTGTCAATCAGGTAACCTTTCTTTTTCGGCTTTCCATATCTCTCATAAAGTCTTAGCTTCCAAACTTTTAAATGGGTTGGGAAAGGAATCAATAGACTGTTGAGACCATGTATCTGTATTTGGTAAATTTGAACTAGAAGGTTAAGATTATCCTTAGTTAAGATTAAAATGGGTAGATAGAAAATAACAATGTAATTAGGCACTACAGAGTCCGGATAAATCTGATTTCTACTATTCAATTCTCACTTCAACCAAGCAATAGCCCAAGTGTTTATCTTCTACTATATGATTAAAAAAAAAGGCTTGCATATGCACACACCTACACAAGGAAAGTAGGAAAAACATTTTTTGGGGGGATCTTGAATTTTGGTTGTGTTTGCTGATATAACGATGATTCAGAGACAATGTGAACAACTTGTTCGGACCAAGGAAGCACTTGCAAGGTTACAATCATCAATAAAGGATGAACTGCCTCTGGATTTTTGGACAATTGATTTGAGGGATGCTGCATTGTCCCTTGGACAGATAAGTGGAGAAGATATATCCGAAGAAGTTTTATCAAATATATTCGGCAAGTTCTGTATTGGTAAATAGAAGGCTCCCACTATGTATTTGGTAATTTTTAGCATAGTTTTCTTTATATCATTTCAATCATATAGGATGCTAAATTCCATCTGGGTCTGTACATCTCCCATGAATTTAAAGCCATGGTAATCAGTTTTGTTGTATATTTCTCATACTGATAGTGATAGTATCACGGGAACCCTCCCCTTTCGGTTGGGATCATTAAATTAATTTTATAACTTTTAAATCAAAGGTTCAAATGAAAGTGATATACGGCGCAACTGTAAATAAAGTGATATTCAGTAGGTTAATCCACCGAAGAATTTTTCTTATTTTAATTCTTTTAATATATAATATAGGACATCATTCTTCATTGTATACATAAATCATTTCACTGATTGCAAGTTAATTGTAATAGAATTTAAAACATTATTTTGAAATCAATGTTTGATTAGACAATTTCTTCTTTGATATCTTGGAAAGAACAGAATATGTGAGATTGAAGTAAAAGATATCGTATATCAGCGAGTTTAATTGGTCAGATACTTTTATTGGTTGTGGGATACTAAATTTCTCAATGTACTTGAACCAGTGTATAATAAGTTTGGAAGGTGAAGGCGATTGATCGTGCAAGCTAAAACATTTACGTTGATAATTGATAAAGTTAGGTCACCTGCTACTTAAGCACATGTTTTGCTTTGGGATCATGTAGACTGGCACATGACTCTTCATTAAGTGCACGAGGGTTGAGGATGTGACAGACTTGCTCACAAGTAAGGTTTATCGGATACTCGAGTCTTTTTTACACGCTGCGTAGTCTAGGTCTAAGTGTCTAACTCCATGTTGCGGCCTTATTTGATGTTTACGCCTTCTGTTGTCAGCCTAGGTAATTAGGTATTATTCAAACCCTAATCCATCAATTTATTTTAAAAAAATATTTAATTGTTTATTTATATTATCTTTAAGAATTAATTTACTAACTTTTATTTATTTTTCACTTAATAGATTATTTCTAAAAATAATTAACGAATATTTTTTAACATAACTTTTAATTAATTTTCTTTTCGAATTCTAGATATTGCATCCAAATAATGGTTAAAATTCATCTTAAAATTATAATTCTATACTTCTATTGTTTGCACAAATTAAACAAAGGATATAATTTTAAATCAATTTTAATTTTATAAAATTGAAATCAAAATTAAAATTTCATATTATAACTAATATTTTAACATGTACATTTCACATGTTAAATGTTTATTGTATATAAATAAATTTTATAATAAGTTATATATACAAATAAATATTATATTTAAATATATAAATTATATTTAAAATTTGTATAATAAATTTTTTTAAACATAAGAATTATATTTTTATTTAAGATAAATAATTTATATTATGATACAAGCTCATTTTTAATTATTAATAATTAATTTTAAAACATAAAATTTTAACTCAAAAAAATATAATAAAAAAATAAATGAATTAGATAAAAAGTTAAAAAGAATCTCCATCGTAAAATAGCCTCTAAAAAAACTCTCGCACAATATGTTGATTTTAATTCTACGCGTCAATCATATGTAACGAAATTTATTGAAAAAAATTGATAGATAGCTTGATCAACATGTTCGATAAATTAACTGCCAGTGGTGATGACACTTACGGAAAGCAGACATGGAGTGCCCAAAATTGTTACGCATAAAAATAAGTGGTACACATTAACATTATTACATTTTTATTCAAATGTACGAAAAGAATCAATCGCCAGCAACTAAATAGAGTGAACATGGTGATGCTGGTTGTGATCCTCTAACTGCATAAATTAATTATCCATCCAAGACTCTTGTCATTTACACTTAGAAGCAACGGATCCCTTCAACAATGAGAGATGCCAGTGCCTCCTTTCCCTCGGGGATAACAACTTAGCCAAGGGAATCAACACAAATAAATGCACTACATTTTTAAGACACCAACATGAACCTCTAACCAAGTACCTTGCGAAGTTCATCAGTCAACTTCACACGACCTGATGGCTCCAACTGCACCAAAATTTCAAAGATACAATGAAGAAAGTATTAAACATTATACAGTTAATGTAACCAAATAATAACAACATAGCTAATGAAATAAAAAGTTCAAGTACCTTGCTTAAAAGGGCAGCAAGACCCTGTGGTAGAGCTTGCAAATCTAGAGCCGAGTCACCAATATTTGTCAATTGAAGCAACACTTTCTGCACTCGCAACTCCTTTAGCCTATTCTCGAAATTTGCAGGATTATTCTTCCATCTGAAGAAGGCTTCATCATCCAACCAAGCACCTTCTTTACCGTTGGCAATATCAGAATTCAAATACCATTCTTTGAGCATGTTCAGTGCAGATGCATGTGACAAATGGTCACCAGCAGCATCTCTCAAACTGTTGATCAGTGACTGCTCACCAATTCTCCTGTACAGTCTCCGGTAGAAGACGGTGCGGGAGTTACGCCAGTCCAGAACTTCTCTAATGACACCCTTGGCAGCCATTCTTAAGGAAGTATCATGCAGTTCAGCAAACTTGGTAGCTATCTGGGTATACACAGGCAAAAGCTGTTTCTCACGCGATTTAATCTGCTGCTGTAGGGATTCAAAGGTGGTAGTGTCCCAGTTACTCTTGACTTCCTGAAGATTTGCCTTCAGAGTTATCAACTGCTGATCAAGTCTACCCATGCACTCCAACAATTCTCTTGTTCTAAACTTGATCTCGATCATTCCTTCTGGCTCAAGGACATTACCTTTAGCCGTTCGCTCGGCATACATTTCAATGTGGTCTGAATTGATTCGACTGTCAACGACAACCCATGCCCCGCCACGAAGCTCACCCATCATTGGAATGTATACAAATATGGGCTGCTTGTATGTTCTAAGGTTCTCCACAATAGTTGATCCGGCCTGAAGAATTCCTTCAAAAAGGTCCCTTTGCCCTCCTGAAAAGCCTCTCCAGTTTGCCATAATGAAAAGCGGGAGCTCTTCTCTGTTGAAATCCAATATTGCTTGGGCTGTCTTGGTTGCAGAATCAGGAAACCAAACTTGCCCAGCTTGAGGAACAACGCGCTCGTGAGAATCGAGCTGGCCTGGATCAGCAGGTATTATTTGCATCACTGTCTGCGTTTCTACAGCAACAATTCCAACAGGGATGCCTCCAAGCTTTGCCCTTCCTGTAACAACTGTTCTTGCCCATCCCTCTAGTGTCTCCACAAAGCTGTCCTTGTCAAAAATGCCTCCCAGCCATCTTCCATTACCATCCAGGGTTCCAGAAATGGCAGCACGAGGATCACACGAGTTTTCTGGGAAATACTCTACCGGTCTTTCTGGAGGATCAAGGGGCTTTACAATGGGAAGCACACCGCCTACATGGGAAGGAATGTAGCTAAGCCACTTCAAAATAGAAGAAACACCTTCGAGATCATCAGAAACTGTAAGATGAACTACTCCATTAGTTGCCATGATTTTAGGTCCACCAAGTTGCATGTGAGAGCTGTATACCTCCCGACCAAGAAGCTTGTTTAATGCTGAAAAACCAGTAAGAATTATGGGCTGATCAAGCCTCTGTATGCATCTCATCCCAAGCCTAGCAAGATAAGCACCTATTCCAACAGTTCTACCAGTCACATATGTCAATGTAAAAGTTTCCTTGTATGCTCTTGAATAAGCACCGGCAATAGCCCCACTTCCACTCAAGTTCTCAACCCCAAGGCCATCCTCCTTGCCAACAATGGTGTCTATAACCCATCTGGTTTCTCCACTCTCAAGCTTTAATTCATGTGCGATCACTGATGATCCAATCCGAGAATAATCCTCAGGCGTTAAATATACATACTGAAAGCCATGCTCAGGATTAGATTCCTCAGACCAACCAACTCTGAAACAGGATTTGACTTCCTCAGCTACACCTAAACGAGCACCAGAATTTGCTGCTAAATAAATTAAAGGTAGTTTTTTTGTACACGCAAGATCAGTTACTGCTCGGAAGAATGCATCCTCTCTTGGGCCAAAAGAACCAGCCTTGAAGGTCACATCGTTTGAAACAACCAATATTGTCCTTCCAGTTGGGAACTCAGGAGTACACATTTCCATAAACCAGGCTACCATGCCAACATCATTGAATCCAGGGTAACGCTCTACAGGAACAAGAGGAGTACCCCAGCTACCTTCTTTGTCAGCAAACTTAAGCTCTGTTACCTTTAGAAGATTTTTATCTTTGGGTCTTTGAAATCCTGGTTGTTGGATTGCCCATGACTGTTCCAAGGCTGTTTTAAATGCCTGCAAGAAGACTTTCTCTTCAGGAAATATAGTTTGACTTGACTTGTCATCCAGTCAATAAAAAAAAAAAAGCAATAATAAACACAGATAGACACAAAAAGAAACCTGTATTTTTTCCGACTAAATTCACTGAATAGCACTTACAAGAGGAAAATCGTAGCAATAAGTGGTGCTGTTCTTTCTTGCTGAAAGACGTTTTCGGTCAATAACTCCCAAAGGTTGATAATTTTCATTCACTGGCACACCATGCAGTGGACCCTTAACTGAGACTGAACTGTATACCACTTTATGAGTGTCAGCATCCTCGTTTTCTCGGTATATCTGAGATTATACAAATTAAGAATCAAATCAATATTTACCAATAGTTTTCATTAATAATCTTTCCATACAGAAGGTGAGATATAACTAACAAAGAGAATATGTTGTTAAGCGTACAAACTTAAGATTACCATTGTCCTTACATATTTTTTAACTTCTTAAAGGTCAAATCTTGTCAATACTAAACAATTTTTAAGATATCAAGAAAAGAGAGTAACATTCCACTTAATGAAAAAGTAATCAATCCTGACTCTTTTTCCCTGCCTAAAGAGCCTTATCGATCAAAAGGTTTCACAACAGGTCTTCTGAAAAAACTTAAATTGATGAATTGCTGAAACATCAGATTTATCAATTGCTTCATGATTGGAAATACTTTAAAGTTTGGAGCATGGTATTAGCACTTGATGCTATCAAATATATAAAAAGGTGCTCCTTTTTCATTATCAACATAACCAATCTTTTGTTTCTTAGACAAAGTGTTCGCTCCAGAAATATTAATTGTTGATAGTGATAAGGGTTTCACCAACTTTGCTTGTCAAAAGCAACCTTTAGAAAGCTGAATGGAAATGTAGTGGCATGCAGAAAAGATTTCCTTGAAATTCTTAACTAAATACTTACATGTACAGTGCATGTA